GTGTGTGTGTGTGTACCTTAGGAAATGGGTTGTGGGATTTTGGGGGGGGGGGGGGGGGGGGTAAAACAGTCATTATTATTTTTATATTTTTGGGGAAATGATGGGATTATGGGTTATATGAGGGGATTTTAACCTGTAAAGCACTTTGAGCTGTATTTTTTGTACATGAAAAGTGCCAAACAAAGTTTGATTGATTGATTGATTGATTGATTGATTGATTGATTGATTGATTGATTGATTGAGTTAGGCATCAGCAGCGGCCACCATGAGCCATCTGGTTTAAATTAAGCAGCTTTTTATGGTGATAATACTAACATGGAAACACTTGATCCATGGAAATCAAAGTTCAGTGGCAGAAACCAAGATGATCAAACCGTACAGTTAGGCAATATGAAACAGTTGTAACTCTGTGTCACAGGTAAGGAAAAGCAAAAAGAGAATGCAGATTTCACACGATGACAGTGAGCAGCTGGACCTGCTTGATCATCTGTTTCTGTTCAGAATTTAAGCCTGCATCACTGCGGTGTTGAACGTCTCCGGGTATCTCCTCCCACAAGAGCCCCAAATCATTAGAAATTTGACAATAACACGAAACATCATACCCTGTGAACTGATATCCCCATCATTAAAAGTAAAACTAAAACTGGCAACACGAGTCTTATTTTGAAATAAACTGGATTTGTCTTGTTGAAACACATCTCACTTCCTGTCAGGCTCAGGTGTATTTTTTACTTCATGACAATCCATACGTGGCATCCGGAGCTGCACTGCACTGCAACCGGTGTGAATACTCCGACTGTGTGGAATCCGTACGGAAACCGGAAAGCTTCCGTTCCGCATGCTGGGAATGGACAAGGCTTTAGGGTTACACGTTTCATTTGGGCATCCTCCTCCACCAGGTACTGGTCAGTTGAAAGCTCCGTCCCTCTTTTCACCCGAGTGTCCAAGACAATCATCGGGGTAAACCCCCAAGTGCAGACACCAAGATGGGGGACAACTAGTATGCCCACCCCTTCTCAGAGCCTCTCAGTGGGGGCAACTCCAGAGTGGTAGTGTCCAGCTCCTCTCAAGGAGCCAGAGCCGTGCATCGAGGTGAGTCCGACTATATTAGCTGGAACCTCTCAACCTCACACACCTTCCCCACCAGAGAGGTGACATTCTACCTACCAAGAGCCAGCTTCTGTAGCTGAGGATCAGACCGCCAAGGTCCCTGCCTTCTGCTACCACCTGACCCCTTTGGGCCCCTTCCACAAGTGGTTAGCCCATGGGAAGGAAACCCATGTTTCCTCTTTGAGCTGCGCCTGACTGGGTTCCATGGGTGAAAGCCCAACTACCAGGCGCTCGTGGATGTGCCGCATCTTTAGGCCTGGCTCCAGAGGACGGCCCCACTGACCCACGTCTGGACGAGGGAACACTGTTTCATTTTGTATTATTCATCATTAGTAGTCTGTGGGCTGCTCTTTGTCTGATCCCTCACCTACGACCTGCTTGCCATGGGTGACCCTACCAGAGGCATAAAGTGTTTTTTTATATATTTAATTACAATATGCACTGCAGTGTATTAACAGGTGTTAATTCAATAAACCGATAGATCAATCCTACATACCAATTATGAGAAAAGGACCTAACCTCTGGGCCACAGCAGCGCTTAAAACCTTCTGCAGAAAAACCCCATAAAATTAAACGTAGCTTACCCTTGCCAGGTTTCAGTTTACTCGAGATTTGCTCACCAGAGCTGAGCTACCCGTGATCCGCCAGATTTATCAAAACTAAAAATAATAGTTGCAATCCCACCGTAGGCCCGTCAGAGGGGAAAAATGGAGCCGATATCTGAAAACTGTTCTAAGTGCAGCCCAACAACAAAACCAACCCGTTTTATCCTGTTTAATACTAACCTATGGTTTAGCTGAGGCACTAGCTAGTGTTTACTGTTCCATATCTGGTCACTGGTTGGATGGGACAGACCTTTGAGCGTTCCAATCTTTCCTAAATGTTTCTCACATTTCTCAAAAAGCTGCTCTCTCTCTCTCCGGTTCTCGGTTTCCACTGAGCAATGGGTCTGAGCGCTGCTCAAAAAAAGGGAGAGAGATAAGACACACAGAAAAGCAAACTTTTAAGCAGTAATTCTCTACTGAACAATACTTACTGAGCAAAGGAAAACCATTCAAATGAATCAGTCATCAGGGAAGCAGGAAGAAATGTTTTTCCTGTTTTTACATTTTTCATTTCAGCTCAAACAATTTATAAATTTTCACTTTACTTATATGATGCAATTTATTTAAAATATACTTATCTTTATTCATGTTATATTTGTGTTGCATTGTTTTTGGTAAAAGAATGACAACATTCATTAAAACTATATAAAAGGTTTAGAATTTTTTTTCTAAATTATGTTTTGCACAATAATGTTCTCTAAATGTTCTTCTACACATTTTAGAAGTCTCTGTTCTGCTGCAATTTCTCTGGTATGTGAGAATGTTGAAGTGAGTTGGATTAGACAGCAGGGGAGAAAGCCACAACGAACCAATAGGCCCAAACGAATAGATATGGTTCACTGGGGATGCAGGCAAGAGAACCTGACAAAATGGTCTCCAACTCTCACCTCCAGCAAAGCTTTGACCACTTCCCAAGAGCAGTGGAGGAAATGTGGCACAACCACACCTGGGTGGGCCCAGTTCAGACATGGTAGCGTATGTTGTGTTCACATCTGGGCAGCCTGTTTGTTCTTCGTGTTCAGCCAAACGTTCTTCAGACTGCCTCCCAGGCGGGCCTGCTGGAGGTGACGTGACCCAACCCACCCACTGCTTACTGACTGGCTGGCTCAAATCCACGTCTACCATTAGGAGGAGCCTCCGATTGGTGAGTAGAATCAGCCAGCAGGGCTTTCCCTCATGCACGATTCATTATCATTCTGGATACTGTGGAATAAACATCTACTCCGAGTTATTGCTCCAGCTCTCTGAGACTGTGTGTATGCTATGAGGAGCAGTTGGCTCCAAAGAAGTTCTGGCAAACCATTGGGCATCTCAGGGTAGACGGTAAAAACTCAACTACACAGTTTACAACAGTGAAGGACAGTTGCTGATGTAAAGTGGGGATATGGTCCGGTGGTAGAAGGAATATTTAAGGAGCTCCTCAACCCTACTGACACAGATTCCAGTGAGGAACCAGCACTGGGGGACCTAGAGATGAGTTGAACCGTTTCTGAAGCAGAAGCTACTGAGGTGGTTAAACATCTACACAGCGGTTGAGCACTGGGGGTTCTTGAAGTCCATCCAAGTTATCTCAAAGCAACAGACGTTGTAGGGCTGTTTTAATTGACATGTCTCTGAAAAACATTGCATTGGATATCGGGGGAAAGGGCCTATGGAGTGGCACACTGGGGTGGTGGTCCCTATTTTTAAGAAAGGAGAACAGAAAGTGATTTCCAACTATGTGGATATCGCACCCTCCAGTCTTCATGGAAAGGTCTTCTCCAAGAAACTTGGGAGTAGGGTTGAGTAGATTGGTTATCCTGGCCATGGACCTGGGGACCAGCTCCACCCTTCACCCAACGGGTCCACTTGTGTTTTGTGGATATGGAGAAGGCTTATGACCATGTCCCCCTTTGAGGGGGCACTCAGAGAGTATGAGGTGGGTGGCCCCCTGTGAAGGGCCAGTCAGTCCATGTAGAAAGAGGGTGAGGCTGGTTTCCAGTGATGCGAACGCAGAACTGGACTGCTGTGGTAAAGACGAGGTCAAGCTAGAACACAAAGCTCTCGTGGTCATGGGCTTTGGGTTCTGCCCCAAAGAACAACATCACAAACACAAGCAGCTGAAATTAGTTTATTTCACGGGATGACCAAGTTTTTCCTTAGAGATGGGGTGAGGTAGCCTAGTGAACTAGACCAAATTCTTGCTTTGCAAAGTTTGAATAAAATAAAAATAATACATTTATTTAGTCTGGCTTGCCAGGCTAGGGGTGAGGAGCTTCAACAGCCCATCCCAAGTGAGGTATTTCGGGCATGTACTGACAGCAGGAGGCCCCAAGGTCAACCCAGGACACACTGGAGGGAATACACCTCCATGCTGGCTAGAGGGAAGGCCTTGGGATGGAGCTGGTGGAGGTTGCTAGGGAAATGGTAGTTTGGGCCTCTCTGCTGGGCCTGCTATGCCTGTGACCTGGCCTCTGATAACCAAAGAAACACAGACCGAACGGATGTGCTGTTCTCTTCCTGGTGAAGCAAAAGGCATGGTCAAGTCCATAGGACTCCCCAATGTCTATCCAGCTCATCATACCATATGCTTCTGAAGGAGGGGTTTAGGTTGTTACTCCAGGTTGTGTTCAGCTACTATTGACGCTCCTTTTGTGTTTCCCCTATGTTAGTTAAACAAGTGACGTCCTTGTGTCAGTGCAGTGGCCGGGTCAGTTTGCTTCGGGCTCCGTTTATCACCTGAACATATGTTTTGAGTAAAGTTTACAGTTTAGCTGTCCTCCCGTTTTGCCCCACTGGCAACTATTGTTGCCAAAGTGTATCACAGTTATTTTTGACTCTCAGTAAAAAATTACAGTGTTACTAATCCAACATTTTCCACTTATTTGCTAGTAAACAACTTAGACAAAAGTTTTGTTTTAAAAAAAATTGTTTCCAAGTGCTTCCTATCTGCTTCCTGCTCCTTCCCGCTGAAGACATGGCGACTGCAAATCATCCTTGAAACAGGTCATTTTTAGACATTTCTGATGAACTGCACCAAAACATATTTGTAATAATTTACTCATTCAAGTCTCTAGAGTAACCCTCCATCCAAAAATTATACCAAAGATAAATATTTTTTTCTTAATAGGCTGATTTCTGTGAGTGGCAACAATAGTTACCAGTGGGCACAAAGCATGCCACTAACTAAAGGAAAACCCTCTCTGCAGGATCGCTCCTAATTTAGTTATTTAAAATATTAGAATGATGTACAATGGCTCATTTTCGTCCTCTTAGAATACTTTTCCAAGCTAAATAACTTTGCAGGTATTCAAGGCCTGTGTGTAAAGGATTTTTATACATTACCATTCATAATTTTCTTGCTAGCAAACATTAGCTTGTGTCTCACAGTCTAATGATAGCTAGCTAGTAAAAAAGCTAGTGAAGATGTTGATGTACGGCTGGGGGTGCACTTTTCTTTGCACACAAGAGTTTACATAACCAGTACACAGCATTTTGTGTCTCTCACAAAGATGAAAAGCTGCAACGTCACGAGGCCCCGTTCCTGCGTTAGTTTCACACAAAAAAGCAGATCACTGTTAAAAATCTCAAAGTTGTTTTTAAGGTTCCTCTGGCTGGTGTGAAAACTGAATTACAAGATAAAATGTTATTGGATCATTTGTGATCAGAAACAACGTGAAATCTAATTAATACCGCAACCTGCAGCCTGAAGTATCTTTCTAAACAACTGGTCTCAAAACTAAAAGAAGACATCCAGGAGGCTTTTTGGTAACAAATGATCTAAATGACATTTTATTCAATTTAGTTCATAAAAACAAAAATCAGATTTCTGCCCTCAAATTCTGTCTAAAGCCCAGTGGGGTCCACTATAGTCTTGACGAAGATGGTATCATCACGTATGTAGGAGTTTTTAGAGTCCAGTTTAGAGAGCGGGCAGAAGAGGGGGCAGCCACTGGCTATATTCATATCGCTGACAGGCCTTTGGAAGGATGAGGATGACACATCGGGCCGAAAGGCATCAATTATGTGCTCCCTATTGTTCTGGTCCAGCAGCATGAGAGTCACCTGCACACACAGGATAGGAGAAGAAAACTGGAGATGATTTAAATTTTTGTTCTGAATACACAGATCAGAACAGCTTTGTCCATGCTGAACATCAGCATCATCATCATCTCACAGAAGAGCTAATATAGCAGTGTTTGCAAAAACCTGTCTGACAGTCAGACATTAATTCAATTCAATTTAAGTTTATTTATATAGCGCCAAATCACGACAAGAGTCGCCTCAAGGCACTTCACATAGTAAACATTCCATTACAGGTCAGTTCATTAAGCCAATCAGAAATAATGTTTCCTATATAATGAATCCAGCAAATTGCATCAAGTCACTGACTAGTGTGAGAGTCTTTACAGCAATCCTCATACTAAGCAAGCATAAAGCGACAGTGGAGAGGAAAACTCCCTTTTAACAGGAAGAAAACCTCCAGAGGATCCTGGCTCAGTATAAGCAGCCATCCTCCACGACTCACTGGGGATGGAGAAGACAGAGCAGACACACACACACATGCACGCACGCACGCACACACACACACACACAACATATATACCAAGTAGTGTTTCTATGGTGACAATGTGATGTCTTAGTAAATATTCTATGTGGTGAGAGATAAACTTTATTGTATTTATCTTAGTGAGTCTATAATTAAATGGGTAAACTAGTAGTAGCACATCCAATGTCAATTGTTGACATGTTTTCATATTTTCCGACAAAAAACTTTAAATCGTCGGACACGACCACTCACAATAACACCTTATGAACCATTACAACATTTAGAAATATTTTCACATGTATTCTGATGTTTCTGGTGTTTCATAATAATTTACATTAAATATACGATGATCTCTAATAATTTCCTGATTACTTCTGTAGGTTTATTTTCTAAGCAGTGGGACTGTCTAATCCTCATTTTCTGAATTTTTCAGAAAATCACATTGATGGTTCTTTTTTCAAATTATGTCAACAGTTTATTGTCACAGTAAAAATATGTATAATATGTAAAGGTCAGAGGTCACAGCAATAACCACTGTTAAACAAATCAGAAGCCTGCGAGGACATTGTCCTTTGTGGTTAAAAAATGTCCTGCGTGAGACATTCCCACGTCTGCCAGTTTGGCAGGCGTGGCTCAAAGGTTTTCACAAACACTGATTTAGTGTTAAAAACCCTCAAAAACGACTGAGTTATACCCATGGACGTAATTTTTGGGGGGGACAGGGGGGACATGTCCCCCCCACTTTTCCAAAATCAAGTTTTGACCCCTGCACTTTTTACCATCCAAAAACAACATTACGCTATATTAAAGTGACATTGGTTGAGCTCTAGGACCAAGCGGAAAACAACCGCTTGTGTTTAAGCCTGTTTCCCATTAGAACATGCTGTAAAGATACCCCCCTCCCATGTCCCCCCCCCCCCACCCCCCCACTTCTAAAGTGAAAATTACGTCCATGGTTATACCTTTTGTCAACCATCACAGTCCTGTACATGTGTCAGGACACTGGAAATGGCCGACCACAGCCCAGAGTTTCACTAGTGGCAAAATCATTTGTTCGACCAGAGCAGATTTTGACGTCGACGTTATATCTCACTCCTCCAAACTTGTGTTAAATATCTGATAAGCGATCATCATCTTGATCAGTGGCAGGAAGGTCATGATGGCCCTCCTGACAGCCGGCCTCCATGGAGTTTGATTTCTTGCTCATTATCATTTGATTCAGTTATCGAATCAGCAGTAGAGCTCTGATTACTCATATCAGGTCCAATTCAGGAGCTGTTTCCTGTCTCCAACAGTCACTAAGCACGCACACCCCAAGCAGAAAGGCTGCTGCTTAAATTCAAACCTGCAACCATTTTGTCACGAGGCAACAGGACTACCAACTTTGCCACCATGCAGATTTTATTTAGTGACAGTTTAACTAATTGGCATTCTATAATGAGACTAATATACAACTTGGATGCATTTATGCCATTCAGTTTATCTAGACCTCACATGAATTAGATGACATTACACACTGATATGATACAGCACTGGTCCATAATAAAGTAATAAGCGTTTACCTTCTGATTAAAAGGCCACTTGAGAAGTGCGTCGCTATGCCCTCTCATCACCACAAAAAACAGGGACAGGTGGGTTCCCCGTCCGGTCCCGTCACCATTCAGGTAGATCCGCAGGCACATCTTGTAGCCGTATTTACTGGTATAGAATGCTAAACAACACCGTTCAAAAAGTTATTTCAAAGCAACGATCACCAGTCGGACAATAACCATAAAAAATGCTTACCAGGAGAAAACATAGCTGGAGCACGGCCGGCCACCGCATCCTGCCTTTTCTTGGTGAAGTCTGAGATCTTCCAGATGAAGATGCCATCATATGTGGATGCAGACATCTCTCTCATCTTGCCCTCCATCTCCACGATGGATAGGTCCCTTAGGCTTACCGTGCGTTCCAGCTGACGCACCTGCAGTAGGTTGCCAAAGGAATACATTTAACGTCTGATTCTGAGTTAGATGAACTAAGACATGAGCTCCAGACTGACTTGATGAGCAGATAGAACATGATTAGAATAGGAAAACTTGTAATTACAGGATGTGCTGGCAGAGATATGAAACCAACATGTTGATGAAAACTTTGAGCTGACAGACCTCCTTGTGGAACATGGTTAACAGATAAAATAATAATAATAATAATATAATAAAAATAAAAATAAAAGTAATAATAATAATAATAATAATAATAATAATAAAACAATTTAATTTCATTTATAAAAGACTTTAAGGCCGCCAAGGCCATCAAAAGACACGAGGCGCCGAATCAGGACATGTTTTCATCAGCTATGTCAAGGACAAAGTTCAAGAAGGTCCAAAACAACAAGATAGCAAAACTCAACACTCTTGTGAACACACTAAAGAGCTGCATCAGACTGAAGAAACCTAAATGTTTCCTCTCTGGCCATGAGGGAATGGTCCCTCCAGGAGCTAAACTTATGAGTGAACCTTCCTCACATTCTTCAGACGGCGCTCTTTCGTTCATTTCTAGTGTCAACGGGAACCCTGATCCTTCTCAGGCCCGTTCAGTGCAGACTCCTCTAAACAGTTCTATGAGATTAGCTTCATTAGAGGTTAGATCTACTTGGTATGGTGTGCGTGTGCGTGTGCGTGTGTGTGTGTGTGTGTGTGTGTGTGTGTGTGTGTGTGTGTGTGTGTGTGTGCGTGTGTGTGTGTGTGTGTGTGTGTGTGTGTGTGTGTGTGTATGTGTGTGTGTGTGTGCTCTGTCTTCTCCATTCCCAGTGAGTCGTGGAGGATGGCTGCTTATACTGAGCCAGGATCTTCTGGAGGTTTCTTCCTGTTAAAAGGGAGTTTTCCTCTCCACAGTCGCTACATGCTTGCTTGCTTGCTTTTTTTGTATGACCTTCTTCACCACTCTCTCTCTATTCTGCTCTCCCGACCTATAGAGCTCCGGGAGTTGACGTCACTTTTCCCGGCATGCAACAGTTCAAATCGAAACGGCCACCTTCCTCAGGATCCACTGATTTCCCTCTTTCCTGTTCACTCTCTCTCTTTCTTAACATTTTTTCTTTTAAATCGCGATTGTTTATTCTTGCTCATTCTAAATATATTTTAAACATTTTCTAAATGCTTTTTTATATTTTTACAATTTTTATATTTTTTGTTTTTGTTTTTGTGAAGCGCCTCGTGATTTTTATCTTGAGAGGCGCTATAGAAATGATATTTTCTTCTTCTTCTTCTTCTACTATGGAGATTGATGTAAAGACTCTGACACTAGTCAGTGACTCGATGCAATCTGCTGGGTTCCTTATACAGGAATCTTTTTACTGATTGACTTAATGAACTGACCTGTATTGGAATGTTTACTGTGTGAAGTGCATCGAGACGACTTTTGTCGTGATTTGGCGCTATATAAATAAATATGAATTGAATTGAATAGATCGCTTAGCAACATTTAGGGATGGACAATATATCGGCATCAATCTCGATATCGGCCGATGTTAGCCATTTTTTAACCTATCGGTATCTGTTTGATGAATAAAACCGGGCCAATATTAACAACCGATATTCTTTCCATCTCGCCTCCATTTGTTTGCCTGATTCAGAGGGTGAGGGGGTGATGTGTAATTTAGTCAGGGTTTTTCCTGCATTCGAATTTGCGTGACGGCCGCCTCCATGTATTTTGTGCCGCCTCAGCCTGATTTCACTCTGCCCCCGGCTATATGGATGTTATTTTAACTGCAGTTGCAGCGTTGCACCACTACACGGGTGCTGTATCAGCAGCGGTGCATCACAAAGCACTAAACCGCTGCAGACAAAGATCAAAAATAGCTTTTCTCTCTATTTGATAGATATCTATGGTTGGTGCTATTGACGTCCTGATTTCCCCCCAGGCTTTACCAAATCAGAGCAGGACTGTACAGTGCGACAAAAAAAAAACTGTGCGTGTGTCTATTTTTAAACGTAGCACGGGTGCAACATGTTTGAATTACTATTTTCCCCAGAACTTTACTGAACAAAAGTAGGTTACGTGTAAGAAAAATGCTTTTTACTGGCGCACAGTGTGGTCATCTGGATGCAGTGGAGGAAAATAAAGGAACCAGCAAAGGCAGAACCGGTCCAAAGTTTGAGATCAAAAGTGCAGCTACATGCAGATTGGCTAATGCTAAAGCTAATGGGTAGCAGTCTCACGATCAAGTGGCGCACAGAAAAATATATGATGATGCTCGTTAAACTAAGAAAGACTAAACTCTACAAGCGGATGAAAAGTCCCCACCATCCTGTTTATTCTGCATCCTGCAGCGCTACGGATCAGAACCGCTGCAGATACTGGAAGTACAGCAAGCTGTTTTAGTATATAATTCTAATTCACAAACGCTTCCATCTTGGAACATAATTTAAGCTGGATTATTGCCAACCCGTAGATAATAGACATGCCACCATTACATTGTTAGCGGCAGAAATTAAATGTTATTACCATTTCCAATACAAATGCATGTTAATGAAATGCATTATGGTTTACTGCATATATTTATGTGTTATTTTGACTAAGATGAGTGCTATTAACACAAACCTAAAATGTTACTGAAATGTAGGTCAAATATTTAAAAACAATTTTAACTATAAATATCAGATGGGGAAAAGGGAACTAAACACCAATCTAATGCATATTATTGAGCCTTTTATAATATTTTGCCTTTATAAAAATGAGGCGGTTGGATGCACAGAGTATGTGTGTGCTGGCACACGGTCAGGATGGTACCACCTCTGCCTCGATCTGAGCCGGGAAAAACCCTGGTTTAGTCATGTGAACAGTGAATGAAATCATCTCAGAACCGTAAATGTGTGTGTGTCTATGTGTGTGTGTGTGTGTGCGTGCGTGCGTGCGCGCGTGTGTGTGTGTGTGTGTGTGTGTGTGTGTGTGTCTGTGTGTGTGTGTGTGTGTGTGTGTGTACATGATAACGTAAATTCAGCTTTAATAATTTTCATTCTATCGGTGCATCACTAGCAACAAGTCATTTTAGTAAATGATTTTATCTCTGCTCATAATCTTGATTTTATGCTTTTATCTGAAATGTGGTTAAATGCAACAGTTTTCATAGCATCACCACCACCAAATTCTAAACGTTAAATCTGACAGGAGAGGTGGTGGTGTAGCTGCTAATTTGGGGACTCGTTCCTATGGAAACAGCTAGTGTGTGGTGATTTTGACTCTTGAGTGTCTGTTTTGAGCTGAAAGGTACAAATAAGGTCTTAGTGTTAGTTTATAGGCACTAATGCATTAATTTCCTAAATAAACTTCTCTGAGATTCTCTCTGTTGTCACAATAGACTTTGAACATCTCCTCAAAACTGGTGACTAATATTCACATTGATTATGCTAATGACAAACCTGCAGCATGTTTACGACCGTTTACAAAACCCCAAGATACAAAACCCTTTACCCTAACCAGTGTCAGGTGGTTCTGGAGGTAACGAGGTGTATGTCACCTTGTTGTTGAGGATTTCAATCTTGTCCTGGTCTAGTCGATGCTGGCGGTTGTAAGCCTCCATGGTAGTGCTGGAACGTTCCATTTCTCGATTCAGGACACAGATGATGTTTTCAAAAGTGCTCACTTTGAGCTCCAGCTCCTGGCAGCGCTGGCTCAGTTCAGCCACCTTTTTCTTCTCATTCTGAAGCTGCAGCTCCAGCGTGATAGCCACAGCGCTGGACAAGGGGGTGAAAGAGGTCAACAGGGTCGGGGTGATCGCACCCTGCATGGAAGCTGCAGCACCTCCACCCAGCTTGCTCATTTTCAGCTCCAAGCCTCGGAGGGACTGGTGGAGCTCCTGTAACCTCTTGCTAGCCACCTCCAAGCTCTGGGGCTGCAGGCTTTCCAGACTCACCTTGATGCCCATGATGAACTGCAGAAGCAGGTTAAGGTGCTCGTAAGAACACTGACACTCATGGTCATGAATCTTCTCTTTCTCAACCTGTGAGACAAACAGAGATACGGGCAGCAGCAGATTAAAAGCACAGAAATCAGGTCCCCTTCTCAACCATTCAGTGTTTGAAAATAGCTGAGGAACAACTTTGATGCTGCTTTCAAATGTTTTCATCTTTTAAAATAGCAAGACTAAAAATAGATCTTATCAGCTGGCTGAGACATTAATATTAATTTGATGTTCCTCAACGATAACTCAGATACAATAGTGAAGAGAACCAGCTGTTAACATGAACCCTAATGTTGACTGCAGGCTACACAAATAATGCACCTATAACACTTCCAAATCCACTCAACCTTCACAATCGAAGACATGCACACACACACACACACACACACGCATACACAAATAAATTGCATTATTGGTAAAAGTTGATGAACAGAAGCACAAGCACATTGGACAGAAATTAAAATTAGAGTAAATTAAAGCAGAATTGATATAAGAGTACCCAGAGCTCTACTGTCGATGTGATAAGCTCAGCCTGATTCATGCATCACATCAATACGTGAGAGTAATATGTACTCAGCCACTGAAGACATCCTTACAGGGCTGATATTAAACCACCACCAACATACTCTGAAAGAATTAAAGTGGTGCTTTTGTCATATTTTCATTACATTTGCACAGTGGTCTCTAGCAGGAACGAATGTCTTCGGGCATGTCCTGACAGCATTTGCCTCAGCTGCACCTGTTTCAAGTAAGCCAGATCAGAGCTGAGCTCAACACAACAAGATCTGGAGTCTTATTTCCTGATGTTTGGGCATCTCTCCTCTGACTGGATAACAGCAACGTGTCTCTACCACTGACTCCGTTAGCTCTACAATATGAATGTTATATCTTCACGAACACCACACTGGAGGACTTCTGCCATGTGGTGAAGTTGCTAACGCTAACAGTTAGCTTCTACTAGCTGAGACATTCTCTGTTGTTTCCTGGACGCTAAACCAACAACAGCCTTCCCCGTCGAGATGGGTTGAGTCCATGACAAGTGACAGTGTGTCGTAGATCTGTCAGGATTTTCATATCCTAGAGTTTCACCATCTATTATCTATCAGAAGCTAATGCAGGAGATAGGTGTAGGAGACTATTTTCATGTTCAGCCTGCATGATATTTTCTGAACCTGCTTGTCCACGCAGGGTCGCGGGGTCAGTCAACGGGCAATCAGGCAGGGTACACCCTAGAGAGAGTGCCAGTCCATCGCAGGGCAACACAAAGACACACAAGACAAACAATCACACACACACACACTCACACCTAAGGACAATTAAGACAGACCAATCAACCTAACAGTCATGTTTTTGGACTGTGGGAGGAAGCCACGCATGCACAGGGAGAACATGCAAACTCCATGCAGAAAGATCCCAGGCCGGGAAGCGAACCCAGGACCTTCTTGCTGCAAGACAACAACTCTAACCACTGCGCAGCCTGCATGATATATATAATAACTAATAAATGCTTTTCAGTGAACCACACCTTTAAAGTAGGGAAGGACAGAACTAAATGTATACATTTTATTATAAATTTTCTAGGCTCATTGTGTTTTAGTTAAACAACATTTTATTGAGTCTAACAAACAGAGTGTTAACCTTTTCTTGGTGCTAATTACTGTTTCCCTCTGGGTGAGAAAAGGCTTACTAATTATGATAAATGATAAATGACCCGCACTTGTATAGCACCTCTCAGAGTAAGGACTCCAAAGAGCTTTACACTACAGTATATCATTCATCCATTCACACACTGGTGGGGATGAGCTACCATCCACGGAAACAATACCAGGGTGGCAAGTTGATTAGGGCGATCTGGTTGAAGCCACAGCTGCTCTGGGGCACACTGACGGAGGCCAGGCTGCCGAGCACTGACGCCACCGGTCCCTCCGACCACCACCAGCAGGCAAGGTGGGTTAAGTGTCTTGCCCAAGAATACAACAGCAGAATTCTCTGTCCAAAGCCGGGATCGAACCTGCAACCTTCCGATTACTGGACAACCCACTCAACTTGTTGAGCTACTGCTGCCCAAGAAACTGTTCAGCCTGCATTAAAAACTCAGACTAATTATAATCAGGACTAATCATTAAAAATGGTTTTTCAGTGAAGTACCAGTTTAAACATCCAAAGATCTTCTACATGTGTCAAAATTTACTGAAATGAAAAAAGAAATCATAATCAAACATTTTTGGACTGCCTGTCTGTTGAAAGCACAAGTGTGAAACAAACTTCCTGAATTTTGTCAGAATTTTAATAATCCAGTAAATAAGAGATTGGTGCACATATAACAACAAGAATAACTACTTACAGACGTATTGCAGCCAACAACATGAAATCTGCATGGGGTTTTAAATTTACTGCAGAACTTAATATGGTCCACATACTGCGAAATACAACATAAAACAAGCCATTGATGAAAAGGTTTAGTTATTTGAGGCTAAATAATTAAGATCAAAACTAGGAGAAATAATTTAAATATGTACCTTTTCTCGAGGAATCTTTTTCTTTGCACAACCCTCACAAATCATAGGGTACTTTGGACAGATTTCATCATGAGCCTAGAATAAGAACAAAAATTCACTCACATCCTTAAAAAGTACTATTGCACTCACAAGCCTATGGCAAGGTTTTGAACACATCTTCCATTTTTAATACAATGGAGCAAAGTCAAAAATCCGAAGCCTTGAAAGCTAACCCGAGTGCCTTCATTTGGCTGAGTGAGCAGTGTGTTTGGCCCACGATACTTCAATACCTGAAGGTCTCAAAGTCTTCATAAAAGTAACATGTAAATATTTGCTCCTTTTTTATAGCACCAGATGAATGTATTGTTAGGTATTAGCATCACCTCTAACGCAGAAAAAACAGAACAACCCTTTTCATATCCATGACTATGTGCACCAGGAAAAAGAAAACGGGACTTGGTCCTCACCAGGGGCCTCAGATTAAAAACATTAATGGATACCCAGCTGAAAGATGAATTACACTCAGGTCAAGAAAATAATCCAGATATATTAAACTGTGTAACCATGTGGATCCACAAACATTTCATTTGGACATCCTGATCAATGTGTACACCAGCCCCGGCATCTGGGGGTCAATTAGAGGAGCATTGGCCCCCCACCCGTACCTCCTTGCCCCGCCAATGGATGTCAGACAGGTACTGATTGTTTTCCCAGCTGAATTTTTGGGGAGGAGTCACAATTTATTGTGTGTGTCACACTGTAATAATTTATATTCAGCTAAGTGATGTCACCGTAATCTAAGTTGGGAAGGATTCTCATTTTGACCAAGGTTTGCTTAGCAGAATGAGTAAAGGATTACCTGATGTGGTATAGAAACCCAATTCTTAACTTCACTTTAGAAAGTAATGAATTAATGTGAATGTCAAATGAAATAGTGATGTCAAGCCAGATATCCAGATACTTATAAGAACTGATAAGTTGTAGTTCTGAACCATCCACGGAAACAATACTAGGGTGGCAAGTTGATTGGGCGATACGGTCGGAAGATCATGAACTTTAATTTCCTTGTGTTTAGATGAAGAGGAAGGCTGGAGAAGGCATGTTGAAGACAATTAAAGTTGTGCTGCAAAGAGGACAAAGCTGCATTCAAGGAAGAACTGCATGCATATAAAATGGTGTTGTCCGCATATAAATGTATATGAGAACTGTCAACAGCATGAACAATGGTATTAACAGATTTTAAATAAGGTTGGGCCCAGTATCAAACCTTGAGGAACACCCAGAGTTAGAGGTAGAGGAGCAGATTGGTAACCCTCTGTTCTCACTGTGTGTGTACGGCCTAAGATATACTAAACCCTGCCAGGATTGAGTAAGCATCAAGTGTGAGGAACACATGGAAAGTGTGGCCAAGTGGCGAGAGACAGTGAAGAGGACTGACTCAGGGCAGCAGATTTCTACCCTTGTGAATGACGGCCAACTAGCCAGAAATCGGTACTACGTCAGTGACACTGAACTGCAGCACCCTGGATATGGTTGGGGAAGAGATAAGCAAATGTTTCAGTGAACGCAACAGTGAGCTAATGACTGCACTCTGCACCCAAACAGTGAGACTTTTCTTGATGTCAAACATGTAAAGCCCATTCTGACTCCATCAAGCACTGAAATCAATGAAGCAGTTTGTGGTTGCCCGCCAGTTCCTCAAAGCAAACATAACCACTGACGATGAAACCTGGACAACTTCACGGATTATCAAGGCATTCCACAGTGCACTGGAGACCATGCCAAGTGTGATGATGACCTATAAACATGCTGACTTTTGGAGCATCAACACCCATGTGTTAAAGTTATTTTTCTACTTTTAAAAGTGTTCTCACAGACAGTAGACTCCGCATGCTGCACCAACGAAAAGCACATTTAGTGCAGCTGGCCCTTTGAAAACCCCCAGCTCTTCGTTTATTTGATTTCTGGGCTTCTCATTTTCATTTTCTGTTGTGGAAATCGACAAACACAAAGTCCAGAAAAACAGGAGTTTGTACAACCCCAACATACACAAACATTAACCATCGTTAAACTAGTTGAATCGGTGTTACCTCAGGGACTAAAAATAACTGTAGTCGAGCACGTCTTCCTCTAAGTTTTCCTGGAGGTACGTAATCAGTCACGTGACTCCAAAACCGCAGGTTTTGTTGGGAAGCCTGCCCACTTCCTTTGATTTAGTATTTTTAAACGCCTGCTAGTTATCTGAAAACCTGGATGGACAACCAAAGTAACTTTTTGACCTTTGTTTATATTTTTCAACCATTTTAAAGAACATTAAAATGCACGTTAAACTGAAGTACAACATGTGCGATCCAGGGCATAGAGCAAAGCAGATTAGAAAATTGCTCGTTTTTTCTTACTTCCGGGTACCAATGAGCCGACCGGAAAGGGAGGACACTTTGGATACAAAAGAGCACTGCTGCTCCATCTTGGCTGAAGCTCGCTCTGTTCTCTTCATCAGTTACAAGAGGAGATTTGGGGAAAACCACTGTTCCTTCCTTCCCTGTTTATTTGCTCCTTAAGCCTAGCACACATATTGATCCTGCTACTATTGCGGACATGTCTCTAGTGTGTTTGCTATTGTGTTTATGTATTTTAGACTTTTTGACACGGACATATTTGTCTCTCTTTCTCCTCCACCTCCTCATGCAGCCACCTCCATCAAACCCACATTTTTTGTGATTTCCGTCCGCAAATAAAGCATCTTTGTACTTTTTAAGTCACAGTTGTATTAACGTTTATATTGTTGAATTTTTACATGAGACATTCAACCTGCCCCGTGACTCTGCAGGTATCTTTGACTCTTGTTTGATTTTTGTTAAGAGTGAATGGCGGTACTGTTGACAAAGTTAAAGGAAGCAGCGTTCTGACCAATCACAGGCTTGTGGTCTCCGCTGCTCTTAACAGATAATTAGAAAGCTGGGCTCTACTTTGTCCATCCCAGCAAGCCTGTTGGAGAGCCCTTGTGACCACAGAAAATTGTGTTATGTGTCTTTGCACCTCCACAGATGGACAGACGGAAAAGAATAAACTAGGCGGTCCCCAGCAGGACCAAAAAAAACCAGGGTGGGGTTGAAGAAAGAAGGAATCAGAGAACATCAGTAAACGACATTTCTGAGGATGGCTATGACTGGTGATGCGACTATCACACATATAATACAGGTGCTGGCCAGTAAATTAGAATATCATCAAAAGGTTGAAAATATTTCAGTAATTCCATTCAAAACGTGAAACTTGTACATTATATTCATGCAATGCACACAGACCAATGTATTTCCAATGTTCATTACATTTAAATTTGATATTCATAAGTGACAACTAATGAAAACTCCAAATTTGGTATCTCAAAAAATTAGAATATTCTGAAAAGGCTGAATATAGAAGACACCTGCTGCCACTCTAATCAGCTGATTTACTCAAAACACCTGCAAAGGCCTTTAAAAGGTCCCTCAGTCTTGTTTTGAAGGCACCACAATCATGGGGAAGACTTCTGACTTAACAGCTGTCCAAAAGACAATCATTGACACCTTGCACAAGGAGGGCAAGACACAAAAGGTGATTGCTAAAGAAGCTGGCTGTTCGCAGAGCTCTGTGTCCAAGCACATTAACAGACAGGCGAAGGGACGGAAAAAATGTGGTAGAAAAAAGTGTACAAGCTCTAGGGATAACCGCACCCTGCAGAGAATTGTGACGACAAACCCATTCAAAAATGTGGGGGAGATCCACAAAGAGTGGACTGCAGCTGGAGTCAGCGCTTCAAGAACCACCACGAGGAGACTCATGAAAGACATGGGATTCAGGTGTCGCATTCCGTGTGACAAGCCACTCTTGAACAAGAAACAGCGCAAGAAGCGTCTCGCCTGGGCCAAGGACAAAAAGGACTGGACTGATGCTGAGTGGTCCAAAGTTATGTTTTCTGATGAAAGCAAGTTCTGCATTTCCTTTGGAAATCAAGGACCCAGAGTCTGGAGGAAGAGCGGAGAAGCACAGAATCCACGTTGCATGAGGTCCAGTGTAAAGTTTCCACCGTCAGTGATGGTGTGGGGTGCCATGTCATCTGCCGGTGTTGGCCCACTCTGTTTCCTGAGGTCCAGGGTCAATGCAGCCGTCTACCAGGAAGTTTTAGAGCACTTCATGCTTCCTGCTGCTGACCAACTTTATGGGGATGCAGACTTCACCTTTCAACAGGACTTGGCACCTGCACACAGTGCCAAAACCACCAGCACCTGGTTCAAGGACCATGGTATCCCTGTCCTTGATTGGCCAGCAAACTCGCCTGACCTTAACCCCATAGAAAATCTATGGGGTATTGTGAAGCGGAGGATGCAATACGCTAGACCCAACAATGCAGAGGAGCTGAAGACGACTATCAGAGCAACCTGGGCTCTCATAACACCTGAGCAGTGCCACAGACTGATCGAGTCCATGCCACGCCGCATTACTGCAGTTATTGAGGCAAAAGGAGCCCCGACTAAGTATTGAGTGCTATACATGCACATTCTTTTCATGTTCATTCTTTTCAGTTGGCCAACATTAGAGAAACAAACATTTTTTCATTGGCCTTTAGAATATTCTAATTTTCTGAGATACCAGATTTGATGTTTTCATTGGTTGTCACCTATAAATATCAAATTTAAATGTAATGAACATTGGAAATACATTGGTCTGTGTGCATTGCATGAATATAATGTACAAGTTTCACGTTTTGAATGGAATTACTGAAATATTTTCAACCTTTTGATGATATTCTAATTTACTGGCCAGCACCTGTACACACGATGTTTTATCAAGATGGAAAGAAGACAGACCTTGATGTTCTTTAACAAGAAGGGTTCTTTGCAGTATTTGCAGTTTAGCGTCCTCTCTGGACATTCCCTTTCATTGTGGCGTTCCTGTTCATTAGCTCTCATCAGCTCTTTGCAGGACGGACACATAATGATCATGAAGTCACAGTTGCCCTCATGGTCAGCCTGCAAGTGGAAAACAAACAATTTATGATTTAAACTTTGGGAACACTGTAACATTACCATTATTAAATGTCCTTAAGTTTAGGACGATGTGCTGGGGGCTGCTTAGTAATGCATTACATACTATGATTAAGCAGTTGTTATTACTTTATTCAATTGTTTATTAATGCTTAAAAATGCACCAACTAACATTTAAAAGGGGCCTTTACTGAAAAGTGTTACCAACAAACTTCCACTAAAAATGCATTAAAGCTACACTCCAGAGTATTTTTTATCCAACTTCACCATCTAGTGGCTGACAAATGTATTGCAGCTTCAAGGTGTGGTTCACTGAAAAAAACATTTCTTAATGAGTATTTCTGATCATAATCAGTCACTCAGAGTTTTTCATGCAGGCTGAACATGAAAATAGTCTCCTACACTTATCTCCTGCATCAGCTTCTGATAGAAAATAGACGGTGAAACTCTAGGATTAGGAAAGCCTGACAGATCTACGGGCCAATCAAGGCTCATTCTCAGCCCTCTTCTCGAGGGGGTCTGCTTCAGGCCGACCAGGGCCAACACACCCACCGCTGACAGCAAATTCACACCTTCCATTAGAGCAAGCCTCTGATTGGTGGGTAGAATCAGCCCACATGGACTTAAGACAAGGATGTGTGGAATCAACCGGGACAGGCTGGGGCCGACTGGGGCTACCCGGCCCGGGCCGACCCGGTACAGATGGGAATGGCCCATTAGAGGGTTCAAAATTCATATTTATGAGGCATGTAACCCTCATTCTTTCAATGGAATAAAATCTTGCTTTGTTCTTGAACTGAGGATGCTTTGTGATGAGACGCCTCTTTAACCTAGTTGGCTTGTCCTTTGTGCTAATTAGCTCTACCGCAGAAGATGCAAAAGCAGAGCATCTTCAGGACCCACTACGTGTGTTTCACAACGCCCCACATTATGGCTTGTGGACCCCTGGGGGCCCAGGGATCCCAGTTTGAGGGCCAGTGACTTACAGTATGTGCAGACTAAAATACTGGTCATGAAGGATTTATATTTTAGTTATGCAAATGTCCTCACACAACAACAATAACATTTATTTACCTCAAAGTCTTTGACAGTTCCAGTCCATGTGCATCCCTCATTGGGACAGAGTGCTGCCAGGGCCTCCACCTCTCTCCGAGCTGCATTGTCTGGAAATGCCTAGACAGAACAGCATGACTGTTTTTAGTCTTTGCATCAATTACCTGGTAGTCAGGAAGCTCTGATATAGTGACTGTTTGATCTACTGCTTTCTATTTGTTCAATGACTGAGTTTAAGCTAGTTTTCCACGGGCACTACTCAGAGTAACTCAGATTAGTACAGCTCAGCCCAACCACCTTTTCCAAGGGCACGGTTTGGCATTTTCCCTCTACCTTTTCCCAAGATTTAGTCCCTGCTCCGTTGAGGTTACTGTCAAGACAAAGTCAGGCCAGCATCGTGACTGTGGCTGCTGATTGGCTAGGGGCAGAGTCACTGGTTGCTCCAGAGTTTTCCGCCTGCTGCTTCACTGCCTGCAATGTAGAATCGGGATCACTACTGAGTGAATTTAAGGATTTTTTTTACTCACAATGCTAGTTGGATCCATCCACTTACTGTGTTTTATGCTAAGCTAAAGCTAAAGGAGTACAGCTGGGTCAGGAGAATGACTGGGCTGGTTACAAATTGTTTTTCTGTACTTATATAACTGGAAATATGTCAATGGACAAATTTTCAATTTAGGGTGGAACATCCCTTTAATCAGCCTGTCCTATACACACAGGAGTTAAAGGTGTACACGTGCACATATGTTGGGAACAGGCAATATGGCCAAATATCTTTATCACGATATTTTGTGACGCATGTGTAGTAACATTATATGTCGTGATATATTCTCTCCTGTACGTGTCAAAATGACTGTTCATGAACATTCTTACATACCAGATGAAAAGCAACAAAACAAATAATTCTAAATAGTAAAAAATGCCATTTAAATATCATTTATTGTTCAAAATTTATTAAAAAAAAAACATCTCAAATAACCTTTGTTAGGATTTGTTTCTCCAAACAATGCAGCACAAAAAATCTACTAATATGGATAAATATGAAAATATTTTAAATAAAGTACAAGCTAAATGTGATGAAAACACAAAATTCTAAATAGTTAAATAGTAAATTTAAAAATAATGAATATTTCAGAATTATACAAAAACTTGAACCGTCACCTTATCGTGGTGGAGGAGTTTGAGTGCCCTAATGATCCTAGGAGCTATGTTGTCTGGGGCACTTAGTGCCCCTGGTAGGGTCTCCCATGACAAATTGGTCTTAGGTGAAGGGTGAGACAAAGAACGGTTCGAAGGATCTTTCATGGCGGTTAAAACGAAGAGTCGGAGTACCCGGCCCGGAGGGTTACCGGGGTCCCACCCTGGAGCCAGGCCTGGGGTTGGGGCCCGTGAGCGAGCGCCTGGTGGCCGGGCTTTCGCCCAGGGGGCCCGGCCGGGCCCAGCCCGAACCGGATACATGGGCTCGTCCAACTGTGGACCCACCACCTGCAGGAGGAACATGAAGGGTCCGGTGCAATGCGAATCGGGTGGCAGACCAAGGCGGGAGCCTTGGCGGTCCAATCCCCGGACAAGAAAACTAGTTTTTGGGACATGGAACGTCACCTCGCTGGCGGGGAAGGAGCCGGAGCTTATGGCAGAGGTTGAGCGGTACCGGCTAGATATAGTCGGACTCACCTCGACACATTGCATTGGCTCTGGAACCCGAGACCTGGAGAGGGGTTGGACACTCTACTTTGCTGGAGTTGCTCCGGGTGAGAGGCGGAGGGCTGGGGTTGGCTTTTTATTAGCCCCGAGACTCTCTGCCTGTGTGTTGGGGTTTACCCCGGGGGACAAGAGGGTAGCTTCCTTGCGCCTTCGGGTCGGGGAACGGGTCCTGACTGTTGTTTGTGCTTATGGGCCAAATATCAGTTCAGAGTACCCACCCTTTTTGGAGTCCCTGGGACGAGTGCTAGATAGTGCTCCATCAGGGGACTCCATTGTCCTGCTGGGGGACTTCAATGCTCACGTGGGCAATGACAGCTTGACCTGGAGGGGTGTGATTGGGAGGAACGGCCCACCTAATCTGAACTCCAGCGGTGTTTTGTTATTGGACTTCTTTGCAAGCCGCAGTTTGGCCATAACGAACACCATGTTCGAACATAAGGATGCCCACCGGTACACTTGGTACCAGGGCAGCCTAGGTCACAGGTCAATGATAGATTTTGTAGTCGTATCATCTGACCTGCGGCCGTATGTTTTGGACACCCGAGTGAAGAGAGGGGCGGAGCTGTCAACTGATCACCACCTGGTGGTGAGTTGGATCAGATGGCAAGGGAACATGCCGCGTAGACCTGGCAGACCCAAACGCATAGTGAGGGTCTGCTGGGAACGCCTGGCAAAAGAACCTGTCAAGACGGTCTTCAACTCCCACCTCCGGCAGAGCTTTGACCACGTCCCGAGAGCAGTGGGGGACATTGAGTCCGAGTGGGCCTTGTTCCACTCTGCGATTGTCGAGGCGGCTGTTGCTAGCTGTGGTCGTAAGGTGGCCGGTGCCAGTCGTGGTGGCAACCCCCGTACCCGCTGGTGGACACCAGAGGTTCGGGGAGCCGTCAGGCTGAAGAAGGAGGCCTACAGGGCGTGGCTGGTCTGTGGGTCTCCGGAGGCAGCAGACAGGTACCGGATAGCCAAGCGGGGTGCAGCAGTGGCAGTTGCCGAGGCAAAATCTCGGGCGTGGGAGGAGTTTGGTGAGGCCATGGAGAAAGACTATCGATCGGCTCCAAAGAGGTTCTGGCAAACTGTCCGGCACCTCAGGAGAGGAAGGCAGCAACTCGCTCACACTGTTTACAGTGGGGATGGGGAGCTGCTGACGTCAACTGAGGCTATAGTCGGACGGTGGAAGGAATACTTTGAGGAGCTCCTCAATCCCACCAATGCGCATTCCGAGGAGGAACCAGAGCTGGGAGGCCTGGGGATGGACTGTCCGATCTCGGGGGCAGAAGTTGCTGAGGTAGTCAAACAACTACACAGCGGCGGAGCCCCGGGGGCGGATGAGGTTCGTCCTGGGTATCTCAAGGCTATGGATGTTGTAGGGCTGTCATGGTTGACACGTCTCTACAACATTGCGTGGTCATCGGGGGCAGTTCCTAGGGAGTGGCAGACTGGGGTGGTGGTCCCCATCTTTAAGAAGGGTGACCTGAGGGTGTGTTCCAACTATAGGGGGATCACACTCCTCAGCCTCCCTGGAAAGGTCTACTCCAAGGTACTGGAGAGGAGGGTCCGATCGATAGTTGAATCTCAGATAGAGGAGGAGCAATGTGGTTTTCGTCCTGGCCGTGGAACTGTGGACCAGCTCTATACCCTTGCAAGGGTGATGGAGGGGGCATGGGAGTTTGCCCAACCAATCCACATGTGCTTTGTGGATTTGGAGAAGGCTTATGACCGTGTCCCCAGGGGCACCCTGTGGGGGACGCTCCAGGAGTATGGGGTGGGTGGCTTTCTGTTAAGGGCCATTCAGTCCCTTTACCAGAGGAGCGTGAGTTTGGTCCGCATAGCCGGTAGTAAGTCGGACCTGTTCCCAGTGAGGGTTGGACTCCGCCAGGGCTGCCCTTTGTCACCGGTTCTGTTCATCACTTTTATGGACAGAATTTCTAGACGCAGCCGTGGTGTGGAGTGTGTCGAGTTTGGTGGCAGGAGAATCTCGTCTCTGCTTTTTGCGGATGATGTGGTCCTCCTAGCTTCATCCAGCTCTGACCTTCAGCTCTTGCTGGGTAGGTTCGCGGCCGAATGTGAAGCGGCTGGGATGAGGATCAGCACCTCCAAATCTGAGACCATGGTTCTCGACCGGAAAAGGGTGGCTTGCCACCTCCGGGTCGGGGGAGAGGTCCTACCTCAAGTGGAGGAGTTTAAGTATCTCGGGGTCTTGTTCACGAGTGAGGGTAGGAGGGATCGGGAGATCGACAGGCGGATTGGTTCGGCGTCTGCAGTGATGCGGACGCTGAGCCGATCTGTCGTGGGGAAGAGGGAGCTGAGCCAGAAAGCCAGGCTCTCGATTTACCGGTCGATCTACGTCCCAATCCTCACCTATGGTCATGAGCTTTGGGTAATGACCGAAAGAACGAGATCGCGGATACAAGCGGCCGAAATGAGTTTCCTCCGTAGGGTGGCCGGGCTCAGCCTTAGAGATAGGGTGAGGAGCTCGGACATTCGGGAGGGACTCGGAGTAGAACCGCTGCTCCTCCGGATCGAAAGGAGCCTGTTGAGGTGGTTTGGGCATCTGGTCAGGATGCCTCCTGGACGCCTCCCCGGGGAGGTGTTTCGGGCATGTCCTGCCGGCAGAAGGCCCCCGGGTCGACCCAGGACACGTTGGAGAGGTTACATCTCCAATCTGGTCCGGGAACGCCTTGGGGTCCTGCCGGAGGAGCTGGTGGACAAGGCCGGGGAGAGGACGGCCTGGAGCTCCCTAATTGGGATGCTGCCCCCGCGACCCGGACCCGGATAAGCGGAGGAAGACGACGACGACGACGACAAAAACAACTTTTTCAGGGAACACAGCTGTTCTACAGCAATGGAGGTTGATCAAGCCTTGAAAGCTGGTGCTACTAATTCCCACAGGTGTTCCAACTTTTCTGGATTACTACAACCCCCTCTGTCTGCATAAAAGCAGTGATGGAACATACTGTGGTACCATTTCCTCGTGAGCATCAGTTAAATAATATGGTACAGCAGATAATAGTGTGTTGCTACAAAAATGGCGAGAACAAGGCAATTAACTATGGAAGAGAGACAGACCATTATAACACTTAAAAATGTAGGTCTTTCCTACAGAGAAATTGCAAAGAAAGTCAAGGTGTCTGTGAGTAGAGTTTCCTTAACCATTAAAAGGCTCTCAAAAACTGGGGCAAACTCTGACAGGTAGTGGTCTGGCAGACTCAAAACCACAACTGCATCAGAGGACAAGTGGGAGTTGAGTAAGAATCTGGTAGGGGGTGACTTGCTCTTTAAACTGCATAAATTCCAATAAAAATTGGGAAAAATTGGGTTGTTCTAAAACATTTGACCAGTTGTGTGTGTGTGTGTGTGTGTGTGTGTGTGTGTGTGTGTGTGTGTGTGTGTGTGTGTGTGTGTGTGTGTGTGTGTGTGTGTGTGTGTGTGTGTGTGTGTGTGTGTGTGTGTGTGTGTGTGAGAGAGAGAGAGAGAGAGAGAGAGAGAGAGAGAGAGAGAACACAAGAGTTTTCAGGCTCTTTACTCAAAGGCAACAAAGCTGTGTGAGACACAAGATAGGTGAACAGTTTGTCTCTTGCAAGGAAAGCAGAAAGAGCACATTTGGTTCTTTTAAATGAATTGAGGTAATGTTTCGTGTGTAAATGTAACAAACCATTTGATGGCATTGTTAAAATAAAAACAAATAGCATGTCCACACTTTAATGGCTATATTCCTGTAACCACAATGTCTTTTTCATTACTTTTGGTCTCATTATAAAGGGAATTCTTGTGGGATTTGTTCAGATGTGTGAATATTAGAATATGTGTTGCTGATGAAGTGTAAATGGACAAGGAACATTGTAAAAAAGTTGATTATTTTTCTTTTGAGTATTTTGCCTGAAATGTTTGAAGTCAGGGTGAATACCTCTTTGGAAAAATGCATCAGTAGTTTTAAATTTAACTGAATTCATAATTTTACATCTTGAAATTAGCTGTACAAAGTCTGAGTTTGATAAAGTGAAGAACAACAATTTTCAGAGGTTTGTAATATATGCACGCTTAAGGCGAGGTCTCAAATGCCACAGTGTGCCACTTGTAAAAGGAATAGTTGAACGCTTCTTCTACGGAATAGTTTTTGTTGTCCAACTTTAAAATCAGCTTTGTTAACATTCAGTGACAAATAAAGTTTGTCGAAACCGCCCCGCCTCAACCCGAGTACACCTGTGCGCTGGTGGACTGGGCTGGAACTACAGTTTATTCAGGAGAGTTTCTCCGGACCCCGCCGTTGGATTATTGAAGCCGTTCAGGTTAGTTAGGAAACCTCTGAGCCAATAGAATCGCTTGCTTTTGACTTTTTTCAGGCTAGTTTTTCGGGATTTGGGGTCGGATGGATGCAAGCTAAAACAGCCATGAATCAGCTTTGTGTGATGTTGTGAAGATGGATTACACAAAGGGATTGGATTGTTTTTACTATAACATGGATCATGACCATGAATCAACAAAGGTGAGACTGAATTTACGCTTTTCACGTCATGAAACGAGCTGTGGTTCGTTAGCTGCTGGCTCTGTGAATTTTGCACGTAGAGTGCATAAATATTGTTGGAAAGAGGAGAGCCTGGGCTTTAATTTAAACGGTGGATTCTGTGGATAGGATATTGGATTGTTGCTACTGTGTTTTTCTCTAAATGCGTATTTAGTGTCTTTTTACGTCCTTTGATTTAACAGCTTATTGTTGAATTGGATGTTGTTGATGGAGAAAACTTGGGTTCTGTTGTTTGGAAGATTAGTTATTCCTGTTCTGCATGTGTGCGGTTTATTCACTGGTGAATATTAAGCATGTTTTTGGAAGGATTTTGTTACTGTGAAGCAGACCCGTTACTGGATTGAGTTTCAATTTACAACTGATGACATCCACAGGCAACATCCCCCACACTTTTGAAAAGCTTGCAACGCGCCTGCTGCCTCTTCACCTGACTTCTAGAGACAGATAGGTGGGAGGAGGAGGTAAATGGGGCAGCAGCATCTCCTGACATCTCCGGATTTGCTGGTTCTGAACATATTTCACACACACATCATCCTCAGTCTTACTCCACCTTAGTTCATCATCACATAGTGTTTAACGTTAGTCTTGTTTAATTTGTTTAGAAATAAATCTTTTAACATTTTAAACCTGACTCTCTCTCTTTCTTGGAGTTGATACGAAGTGTTTCTCAATCCCTGCAATAAAAAGATCCGATCTTCTGGTTAAATTTATTCAAAGATCCATTAAGGTGATATTTCACATTCTATGGTTTCTAATTAAATGTAAGAATATCTTCTCTACATGTTTGGCGAGCCCAGCCGTTTATTTGTACATTGTGACACCGTGTTGATTCTAAGATTCCTTTTTAATTAAATAAACACTTAAAATCCATCAAAAGTTGATGTTCTGGGTAGGAAATGAGGCGATCTCATTACCCGCCACTAGAGAGCAGTCGACCTCCATCTAAGTCAAAAGGATGGTGACGCCAGGCAGTGAAGAAGAAGGAAATGATAAAAATATACTTACACCACCTAGCTTAAGGATGGAAGTGGGTTCCTCAAACAGGTCTTCTTCGATGCATGCACTGCATTTTTGTGGTCCAGAGCTAAGGAAGAGGGAAACGGATTGATTGATTGATTGATTGTAATAGTATCAGGATGACGGTTAATATTGAGGATTACGCTTTATTCCTAGCTTTGGATTCAATAGCATCATCTTAAAGGGTAAATCACAAACTGGGTGGGTACACCCACACTTCCTGCTGGGAAAATGCACCAAAAGGAGGTGTCGTCTGGGGGACCGAGAGAGCGGCACTGTGATCGACAACACCCCTCCCACCCTTACACCGGGGTGCAGCTGCAAAACGGTAAACAAGCGTGTCCGCAGAACTTTTGCTCTGTGAGAGAGATGAAGTGATGTAAACTTTGCGTCCGGCAATGACAACACAGCATGGAGGAAGCTCATTAAAATGCATCAACACATTGGATTTAGTACAAGTTTTGAAGAATAAACTCTGGGCAGTGTAAAGTGAGCTTTTAGGTTTCAGTTTCTTGTTTAACGGAATGGTTTCTGCAGCACACTGGTGTAGATTCGCAGTCATCCCGGACATGGTCTATCTGAGAGTTTTAGTTGCAAGAAGCTGGATTTTCTGGTTATGTTGGAGACATTTAGCCCCTCATCCTAGAGGCTTCTTCAGTTCCCGTACTTTGGCTGTGGTCAGAAATAAACACGCTGGTTGTGCTGCAAGTCTTTTACGTTCTTTCTTTCTTGAAAACATATTTTGTCTAAATGATGGTGATGTTATTGTTCTTAGATTTAAAATTCATGTTGAAGTCCAGGATATTTTCACAAGTAGGACCTGTGGTTAGGTGACTGGCTCGTTTAAAACATGTAATGTTTTTAGATTCAGCCTCTTGAAAGAATCGGAATAGGGAATCAATAGGAACAGGAATTTAAAAAAGGAATTGGAATCTGAAGTGGAATTGTTCAAATTCAAACAATCCCCAACCCTATGTGAGTTGCTGAGCCAGGTGGAGTCTCAGGGGGAGAGAGGTCCAAAGTCTGGTGGCCACAGCAGCAAATGATCTGTCACCTTTGACCTTTAGCCTGGTGCTGCACAACCAGTAGGCTTTGGTTACTGAATCAAATCAAATCAACTTTATTTATATAGCACTTTTCATACAAAAAATGCAACTCAAAGTGCTTCACAGATTAAAATGGCCCCATAGATCCCATATTCCCATCCCAGCCCCCCTCCCCAAGGGAGGACCTCAGGGACCTGCTAGAGGTTTAGGGACTGAGAAGATCACTAATGTAAGATAGTGCTTGTCCATGTAAGGCCCTAAAGACCAGAACCAAAATCTTGAAATAAAGCACAGGCATTCTGAACCACCTGTAGACGGTTCAGGGAGGTTCTGCTCAGACACGTGAAAAGAGAGTTACAGTAGTCTAAGCGTGAGGAGATGAAGGTGTGGAGAACTGTCTCAAGTTCAGAGCGGGACAGAATGGGACTCAGCTTAGCAACGTTCCTGAGATGGAAGAAGGAAGAGCGAACAAGAGAACTGACATGAGAATCCAGGGTGAGAGCTGGGTCAAAGGTCACACCAAGATTCCTGACAGAAGGTTTGGTGTGAGAAGAAAACTGACCAAGAGAGTCTCTGACTTTGGGAACCAGCTTGTCTGGGGCACAGATGAGGATCTCAGTCTCATCTTCATTCAGCTGAAGAAAGCTCTCACCATCCAGGTTTTGATAGAGTCTAAGCAGGTGTGTAACAGCTGCAGCTTAGACATCTCATGGGGCTTAAAGGAGATGTACAGTTAATTGTTAATTTATTTTCTCACTCAGCAGTTTCATTCATCATTCATGCAAAATACAATCATCAACAGTCTCCTAAGTGAAAAAAGGGGGAGGAAGAAGAAGTCTTGTATGACCTACCCCTTTCTACTTCATACAATATAATTTACAGAATGGCCTTAAACACAAACCAAGTATCGAACTTCCTTATCTTTGTAAACAAAATCACAATAAAACTTATCAATATACTTATTCAATATTTACTTATCAATCATAGGATTCTATGATTTTTTCTTCATAGTCTCTTAAATTGATCGGTAGTTAAACATTTTTTCAGGTCATAATCCAGATTATTCCATATTTTACTCCATATAATTAAATACACGTTTGCTTTAATGTTGTTCGTGCAAAAACTCTTTTAAACTCAGGCTTCTTTCTATTTTTTTCCATCATTTGGAATCCAAACAAAAAACTTCTCTAACTTCACTGGCAGTAACCTCTTTTTTGCCCTGAACATAATTAGTAAAGTTTTCAAATGAACCGAATCCCTGAATTTCATAATTTTTGATTCAATAAAAAGTCTTTTGGTATGTTCTCTAGCATCTACTTTAGATATAATTGTCATGGCTTTCTTCTGTAATAAAAACAAAAGAATTAGTGTTGCCCCAAACCTCTATACAATAAGTCAAGTATGGAACAATAAATGAATAATATAATATATGAAGTGTTGATGACTCCAAAATACTTTTTACTTTATTTAAAAGTCCAATACTTTTACACAGTTTTTGTTTTATATATTTTATAAGGGGTTTCCAATTAAGTTTATGATGCAAGATGACCCCTAAAAATCTTACTTCATTTACTCTTTCAACTGAAGTACCATCTATGGTCAAAGTAACAGAATCATCTGTCTTCCTGTTACCAAAAATCATGAATTTTGTTTTATTTCAATCTATAAATAATTTATTGTCCATAAACCACTTCTTAAGTTTAGTAATCTCACAATCCATATTTTCCAAAATCATTTGTAAGTCATTCCCAGAACAAAATATATTTGTGTCATCAGCAAACAAAATTAACTGTAATATTTTGGACACATCACAAATATCATTAATATACAAATTAAAGAGCGCAGGTCCCAACATGGAACCTTGTGGGACTGTTGGATGTCATCTGAATAAAGATGGTAGGAGATTCCTTTAAATGAGCTCAGGACCTTATGGGACACCAAAGGCAAAGGAGGTGAAGGAGGACCTAAACTTGGAGATAGCTACTGAGAAGGAACACAGAAAGATGAGCGGAACACCACTCCAGTGCAGTTCCTGATGGTCCTACGCAGTGTCTAAGCCTATCAAGTAGCAGGTGATGGTCAACTGTATCAAATGCTGCAGTCAAGTCCAGCAGGATTAGAAGAAGAAGAAGAAGAAGAAGAAGAAGAAGAAGAAGAAGAAGAAGAAGAAGAAGAAGAAGAAGAAGAAGAAGAAGAAGAAGAAGAAGAAGAAGAAATCTTTTCTATAGCGCCTCTCAAGATAAAAATCACGAGGCGATTCACAAAAACAAAAAATGTAAAAATATAAAAAAGAATTTAGAAAATGGTTAAAAATATATTTAAAATGAGCAAAAAGAGGCAATTGTGATTAAAAATGTAAAGAAAGAGAGAGAGTGAATAGGAAAGAGGGAAATCAGTGGATTCTGAGGAAGATGGAATAGGTGGGGAGAGCAGAATAAAGAGAGAGTGGTAAAGAAGGTCATACAAAAGCCAGCTTGAACAAGTGAGTCTTCAGCTGCTTTTTGAAGGAGACCACTGAGTCCACTGATCTCAGGCTCAGGGGGAGAGAGTTCCAGAGTCTGGGGGCCACAGCAGCAAATGATCTGTCACCTTTGGTCTTTAGCCTGGTGCTGCACAACCAGTAGGCTTTGATCACTGGACCTCAGGGACCTGCTGGGGGTGTAGGGACTAAGAAGATCACCAATGTAAGATGGTGCTTGTCCATGTAAGGCCCTAAAGACTAGAACCAGGATCTTGAAATGAACCCTGAAGTTGACTGGCAGCCAGTGAAGCTGGAGGAGAAGTGGGGTGATGTGGGTGTGTTTGGAGGACTTGGTCAGAAGCCGAGCACAGGCATTCTGAACCACCTGTAGACGGTTCAGGGAGGTTCTGCTCAGACACGTGAAAAGAGAGTTACAGTAGTCTAAGCGTGAGGAGATGAAGGTGTGGAGAACTGTCTCAAGTTCAGAGCAGGACAGAATGGGACTCAGCTTAGCAATGTTCCTGAGATGGAAGAAGGAAGAGCGAACAAGAGAACTGACATGAGAATCCAGGGTGAGAGCTGGGTCAAAGGTCACGCCAAGATTCCTGACAGAAGGTTTGGTGTGAGAAGAAAGCCGGCCAAGAGTGTCTCTGACTTTGGGAACCAGCTTGTCTGGGGCACAGATGAGGATCTCAGTCTTATCTTCATTCATCTCTAGAAAGTTCCCAGCCATCCAGATTTTGATAGAGTCTAAGCAGGTGTGTAACAGCTGCTGCTTAGGCCCTGTCCACACGTAGCTGGGGATCTGCCAAAACATAGATAATTTTCTAAGTTTTGGCCTGTCATCCACACGAAAATGGAGTTCTCTTTCTTAACATTCGTTTCGATGTCTCACTATGGGATACGCCCCTCCACGGATTCCTCAGAAGCACTTATCTCAATACGCCAATCCTGATTGGCCAGTGACCGTGACGTACGCGTCACCTGCTACTATAAGTAGCAAGCGTCCCCACGCACGCACTATTCAATCACCTCTTCTCGCTTCGGTGGTCGCTTATCTCTGAGGTAAGTTAGCTCAACTGTTCACAGACGGAGACAGCTAATATTCTCTCTGTCGCCGAACGTTAACCTACCGTCCTTCTGTCCTGACCTTCACCATAGGCTCAGGGCATAACGAGCAGCTTCACACTCCAGTGCACCTGTTCGTTCTCTGCTAACACACCAGTTAGCCAACATGGAAGCCGCTCCTCCCACCAGAGGAGTCGATGGCGCAGGAGCTCGCCTCTGTACCTGTGGGAACAAAATCTCGAGCAAAGACCCGCACAAGGTCTGCTCGAGCTGCCTCGGGCTGGAACACGCCCAGCTGGCAGTGGAAGTCCCCGGGTCATGTGAGAGCTGTGCTTGCTTCACCCTGAAGAGCCTTCGCCGGCGGCTAGCGCGCCAAGCTAGCCTGTCGGGGAAGGACCCTTGCCTGCCGGCCCCTGGGCCACCGCCTGGGGACGCCAGCGAACATGCCCTCCCGGAGCCGGAACCATGTGCCGAACTCAGCTGGGGCTCACA